GGATTAAGTTGGTCCCTGGCACCTGGTGAATCCTGGACACTCTGCCCTTGGTGACATTCCATGAGAGGAATGTCCTTCATCCCAATATGTGGTTGCAAATTCCATCAGGTTGCTTACAAGTCGTCCTGTGTAATGCAGTTCTTGTGGATCAATCCTATTGCTACCAGGGGCTTGTTAATGCAATGAACAGATATATTTCCTGTTTTCTTTTTTCAATGTGCAGAAAATACGCAGAATTCTTTACACTTGTACTGTCTAGTGAACTGAAAAGATCTTTTTCATGAGTTTTCTCATTCTAGATATAACTGAGAAAGCATCATTTGCTTTCTGTGGAGATACGCAGGAAAATTATGTCCTGGGATCTTTAGGTGTGTGTGAGAGAAACCCCTCGTGCCTCTTGTTTCTATGCTACAAACCAGGCAGCAACAAGCATAATTTATCCCCAAATCACTTTAAGAGTAACTTCTCATATTGTTATGCCTTTAAAGGAACTCTGGGCTTGGCACATATCTGAGGCTCTGCATATCTTTCACCCCAGGAACAATTTCTCCTTTGCAAAACTTTCTGGCTTGTTTTACATGCAAATGATCCCATAGGATGGAATGAGACCAAATGTTGCATTGGCCAAAATACGAGGTGATGAGTATAACTGGGACTTTATTTATTATGTGACTTGGCATTATGATATCTGAATTATCTGTGCGGGCCTGTACAAGCCATATAAGAAAAGGAGCCTGTTAGCTGGATTCTGTGCCTAGAATTAATCATCCATATGTTATGTCCTCCTGCCCTCTCCTTTCCTCTCCTCCCCTTCCCTTCCCTCCCCTCATTTGTAATTGCTTTTAATACTGATTTTGGATCATGAAAAGTGAAAAATTCCTTTGTGTATGTATGTTCTTGCATTAACTCAGAAGCCTGCATTCAACAGATTCTGCAGAAGTGTTATATTGGGAAATAATATATTCACAGGAATAATAATACCATATATTAGTTCTAAATAATAAAAAAACCCGTCAATTCAATAAATTATTCAATTAAATCTTTTTTGTAAATGCAATTTTTGAACCTACTTTGTAAATAATAATATAGTACACACTAAAACTGATATCAATATACTGGTAAAAAACAGTTATAGTTCTATGAAAATGCCAGCTTTTTCTATTAATTCATGAACTGCGTATTAAAATGTAATGGAATTCTTAGGTTTACCAAATGAGAAAGGAAGCAACTGGGAAACTAGCCCATAGCAACTTAAACATAGATTATACTTCAGCCTTTGCAGACAGCCACAGCACTTGAGGCTGAAAGACGTTTTCTAATGTACTGCACAATTTTAGTCCCAACGGATAGTCTAAAAATAAAACTGTTGAAATATCTTACTACCTCCCAGAAAGTCTTGCAGATATTCCAGTAGCAGAGCTCAGGGTAAAGACATCCAGGCCTGGTCTCTAACCCAGTGATGACAATGATATTTCACATACTATTTTGATTACACTCGATGCTTGAAAGTATTTGGAAATACCAATACAGTTCATCCACATTTCTACTAGAAAAGAATTACCAATGCAGATAATTCTTGACATTTTGAATAATATACTTAAAAGCAAATTGTCTTATTATTATTTGAAAATAATAGTAGATTATTAGATGCTATTACATCTGATAAAGAGCATCACGGTGTGTCCCCAGTCCTTAGTGAGATATATTAGAAAAATAGGCATGGTAATAACTTCAGAAACTAGAACAAGTCTGTCCCTACAAACATAATTTTCCTTAGGGTAGACTGGTAAACTTCTCTGAAGTCACTGATCTTGCCAGTTAAAAAGATTTTAGCAGCAGGCTGAATGTCTGTATTCCATTTTTTAAACTTATTATTTAACTAAACTTTTCCAAGCATTTTGCTCATTTTACCCACTACTTTTTCCACTTTCAAACTTCAACTGAAAGAGAAAGCTTTCCACATAAATTGCATCATCTGAAAGCTGTCTTCTAAATTCAGCTTTTGCTGCTATGTTTCCCTGAAAAGGGTTGTCACCTACACTGTAAATCCTTTTTAAGCCAAATCACTAAGTTCACTGAATGCACATAACTCCAATTAACTGCAGCCTGCTGGCTCAAAAGCAATTTGGTGTTTCATTAATTACTCAGGTAAACACAGGAAAAAGCTCTTTTAGTTTGCCTGAATTCACAGAACAAACAACCTCCCCCACCCCATCTTTGATGATCCAAGACAATCTTGTCTTTTGATGCTTATCATTTGGTTGTTCAATAAAATGTAATTAAAAACAAAAGCAACATCCCCCTATCAACAAACCTGAGTTGCAGCTAATTGTCAGGCTTTCAAACTGACTCTCACAGTGCAAATCCTATTGCACTTTAGGTCACAAGACTATTTGTTTAATCTCTTTCCTTGTGGACTGACTCTCCTCCCAATGGGATTTCTGGAGGTGAAATTCAGTTACAACGCTTGGAGGTTTTTTCCACTTGGCTTTGTATTGATCATATGCAAAATTGAAAAGATTATATATGTTTTTATTCAAAGGCATAAATCAATTCTTCTAGAAATCCAGAACTATTTATGATGCCTAGCAAGCCATTTGATAATCCATTCTACCTTTAAAGATGGAAAAGAAAAAAGCTAAACTGTTGATTTTTATTTGATTTCCCAAGTAAATCTAATATACTAGCCAATGCAAGACAACTCAAGTATCCAGTATGATCATGCCAGTGAGCCAATTTGAAGCTACCAAGGGCTTCAGAAACTAAACTGAGCAATGATATGGGCATGCAAGAAGTAATTATAAGAATTAATGGACTGTTATTCATCTAGGGTTTTTTTTAATGTTAATGAACAAATTAGTCTTGCATGTGAGTGTAGCACATCTGTTTGTGCCTACATACAGAGAAGCACATCCACATGTCACACAAGCTGGCTTGATTGCACTTTGCAGGACATATTTGTATACATTTTATCACCGTTTCTGTAAACAGCATTTTCTTTCAGTATGTTCCATGCTCTCTGCCTGGGTCCTAATGGAAGTGTTAATTAGAAGCGCAGTAGGGAAACAATTTATGCTTCTAAACATGTCTTGTGTATGGAGTTTGAGTAATGAGAAAAAACAGGCCGGAACATTTGTATGAACAGATACTAATTACGGTTTCTGAGTCTAACATGGCTCACTGTTATTGCCAAGAGCACAGCATAGAATATGAAAAAGACAGAAGATAAGAGATTTTAAATAATCAAAAAAAGGGGCCAAAGTCCCAAATTTCCATAAAAGTAACTTTAGATGTAAATCTGAAGGTAGAATGATGGTTTGCTTTCATAAAAACTCATTTTGCAGTGTCTTTAATTTGCTTCATGTTTAGTATCTACTGAAGTCTCTGTTGGCTTACCATGATGAAATTCTTAGGTATCAGTGGCAGGATTTTACCTGATCATAATTCTTGTGTCTCAAATGTAGTTTGCATGTGCACCTTTCCACTGCCAAAAATCAGGCTCAGAAGTGCTCAGCAAAACCTTCTGCCCTGTCCTATATTCCTGGCATTAATTGAGAATCTATCAGGTTAACAGGATAGAACTTTGTGTGATTAGCTGGAGAACTTACACTGACATGTTTACAGTGATGGATAATTAACTTTATAAACTAAAGTGTGCCTAAACATGACAGTAAATTTGATGAATCACAATTTCAGAATCCCAGAAGGGGGAGAAAAACGGAACAATAAGGAAAAAGGGGAAATATTGAAAATATAAATGGCAAAAAGTAAAGGACAGTAGAAAACAAAAGGCATTAGCATTGCATGTGGTTTCTTATTGCTTGCAAAACTGTAGAATATATACCAAGGCTAATGAAGAGAATGGTTTGATTATTTACCACCTGGTTTTATTTCTCTTTTTCCACTAGACTCCATATATCATACACAGTTGGAGTGGAACAGTAAGTATATAATTTTCTGCTGCTTAAGTACACTATTTGCTATAAATTGAAAACTTTCAGCTTGCATTAACTTTCCATACAGCCAGACAAAGTGATCAGCAGTTCAGTCATCCAGGAGCATGGTGAGTTACTTTGGAATGATATTTTCTATTTAGTTGTCTGGTGCCTGTAAACTGCTTTTATGGAGTGAGGTGATACAGGCTTTGCTCTCTCTCTTCAGAGGTGTAGTCAGATACATGATTTTTTACAGCTAGAATACAGATTGCCTTCCATTTTTGTATTACTGTGTTTTTGTAGGGAGCAGTTGGCACAATCTAAAAGCTCTATCTGAAAGTGAAATGAAATTTAAGAGGTAGATGCAGTGCATGTATATATATATAAATGTACATACACATATATAATGCCAAAAGAATGTTAAATTTGTTATTAAGTAACTCTACACAAAACTCTTTTCTGCTTAGGTATAGGGGTTGTGTTTTTCTAATCTGCTCACTGTCCTGTTAACTTGGAAATCAATGGTGAAATCATGGGCCAGATTTGGACCAAGTGAAAAATCTTCTAAGACCCCACTAAGGACTTTGATATCTTGCTTGCAAGGGAACCAGATGAATATAAAACATAAAATATTGCATCTAGAATTCACAGTAGGTCTTTGAAGGGCAAGACACAAAATGAGATTAGGGTTCCAGGAATACTTGATTTCATAGCAATACTTCAAAGGGAGATATGAGTCCAGAAAATAAATTTAAAAATGGAGGGTAATGAAAGTGGCATTTCAGGGTTAAAGTCTGAAAAAACAGAGTAATCCTTGCTTGGAGCCACATCTAATGTCATTTCCTACTGAGGATACAGTTTGCCTGGTTGGGGCAATTCCCACAATGCTCCTGGTTTTTAAAGTGTTCTCTTTCATTTCCCAATGGTGGTGAAAGATAGCCAGCAGATGACAGAAACAGGTGGACACTGTCAACAGTAGCTTCTAAAAAACAGCTATCAAGGTGTGGGGTTTCAAGAAAGAAAGACAGGAGATGGATGGATAGAAAAGGAAGACGAGAGGGTTAAATGGGAGAAAAGGTAAGTAAAGGAGGGAAAACACAGGAGACTAAACAGATCATGAAATGTTGAATGCCAGAGTAAGCAAAAAGAATTTATATCTTCTCCATTGTTCAGTTGTTCCAGCTTCTGGCCTCCTGGTTTGGGGCTTTCACATATTTTTTTATTTTTTTTTTGGTGAATTATTAAAATGTAGAAACTCATCTCACCCCACTGTTGACGTTGATAAGGTAGAATGTTTTACACCAGCACTAGTCACCTGTTTCCCCTCTAGTCAGTGAAAAGAAATGGGCATTTTTAAGGCATGATTTATCTGACCTATTTTAGGCACTTACATTAGCATGAGACAAATTGTGACATGGAAGTTCTTGCATTTCTGTATTGCCTGGACCTTTCTCTGCTTCATGTACAAGCAGCTACGATAGATCAGATTACTTAGCTTCTTTGTACCTTTGCATTTAAACAGTTTGGTGGCTTGTGATAGTTGACTGTGAGTAGCCGAGGGTTTTGGCTCACTGTCAATATTTCTCAATGTTAGTAGAGTCCCAGGTTATTTTTTATTCTTCCATTTTCTGGGTAAAATCAAGCATTAAAAATAGAGGTATATTTCAGGTACACTAAAACATTTTACGCATTCTAAAGAAAACACTTTGGTTTTAACTTTCGTCAACTCTTGAAAATATTTTTACAGCACCTCTAAAATAGATTTTAAAAAATCAATTATTTTTGAAATTTAGGAGACATTCTATTGCCTTTTGAAATGTTATTTTGTTCTTTGAAACTTTTTGGCAAATTTGACTTAATTTTGGCTGGGCTTAAAAAGCATTTTTGGCTAGTTAAAGATTTGCAGGAAAATAAAATTGACCAGCTCTAATGGCCAGATTAATCACGTCTGTTTGTTTTTTTTTTTCCAAGCTTGATCCTCTTTTGCAAAAGTCTCAGTTGCAGGCCTGTGAAATGATTGCTTGCCCTTGCTATGAGTCATGGCCAGGTACTGTGCCCCAATTTGCCTGGGCAGTAGCTGGCAGATAGAATGGGTCTGGCTTCTGCATGCAGCCCAGAGTCCTGCTAGGTGTGCTAATTAGGGTGCTAATTGCAGTAGAGGACAGGAGAACTGTGAGGAGGACCTAGGTGTTCAGCGTTTGGGAGAAGCAGATTCAGTGAGTTAATCTGAAGCAGCAAAGAACCTCGGCACCCAGCTGTCTCTTACACCTGCAGAACAGTTTGGATGGCTGCTGGGATATGCAACACCTGTAGCTGATGCTGAGAAGAGGGACAGACTACAAATCCTTCTCTGAGAAGAGAGCAAAGGCCGTGTCAGCAGGAGCTCAGCTGAGAGGGGTGATGGCAGTGGGCTGGGAACAGCAGGGAGCTGTGGGACGGCAGTGGGAATTCCCGACTGTGGTCTGAGCACAGAGTAAGGAGGAAATGCTCCCGGTGTTAAACCAGGCAGAAAGAGGCTCCAATGAGTAGCCATTTGACATAGCTCAGACAAAGATAAATACAGGTGACTCATCTCCACTAGCAGCTGCCTGCTCTGAAAAACTAAGCAATCTTTATTTTCCACATGCCAGCTTGACAACGCTGGGTGTTTATTTTTATTTATTTTAATCCTAATGTTCTTTGAGAAGTCACCTCTGTTTCTTTTCATGTCTGCAAACAGGACTAAGATGTCTCCCCCCCTCCCATATTTTTGCCTATAACTGTGTCTGCCAGGTAAATACCATAATGACTCATTCTTTGTGTTAAGACTTGGGTTTCCCCAGTTTTGCTGGCACTCAAGTGTTATTAGCATAATGTATTTTTAGTGAACTCTGTCAGCAGAGCACTATATGGCTAATCAAGCACTCATTGGGGATAAATGGTAGACTTAATATTCTTATCAGGCTACTGGAGCTTAGAAGTTACCGACCCTTGTTCCACTTATATCAAAGCCACTTACAATGCTACCAGCTTGTAGCAAATTCATTTTCTGTTCATGTCTGATTGCCTGTGATGGTGCCTAGAAACAGAAAACAGAAAATGGGAAATGGGAAGGAATGAGGGTCCCTGTTGCCCGAGGACTTAATGTGATTGCAAGATATTGATCACATTGGATACTTCAACCTAATCCTCACAGTTTCACCGGCTTTGCAAAAAATGTTTCTCATAAGCACATTTTCAATTACATTTCAACCTTAGTGATTCAGAAACACTATTCTTTAAGAGGATCTATTTAATATCGGTAGTAGCTGCCAATTAAACTAGGGATTTTATTAATTTTCTCTAGTATTTAATCTTGTCTGCTGTCCCTGTGAAGACTGGACAGTTTAGGTCAAGATAATGCCATGGATCAAACGGAGGAGCTGCTTGCCTCTAGTGCTCTACCTTTTCCCTAGGAAAGGTCAGGATGATTGCAGGGGCAGTGATGTCTGCCCAAGCACTGAAACTCACCCTGTGGTGCCTGCTGTGTCCTGACACATTTTCCCATTTCTTCCACATTTTCCCATTTCTTCCACATTTTCCCATTTCTTCCACATTTTCCCATTTCTTCCACATTTTCCCATTTCTTCCACAGTTTCCCCAGTCCTGCCACAGTTTTCCCATTTCTGCTGCATCTCTGGCTGGGCTCCTTCAGCCCCTCCACATCAGTGTCATTGACCACATCACATTTATTGATCTGTGTATTGGGCAGTAGATTTAGCATGAGATTCAGTTTTCCTCTGAGAAACCACAACCAAAGGCAAAGCAAATAATTCTTTTTGATACTAAAAGGAAGAATGATAAAGGAAGGAACTGTGCAGGCTGACACATACATAGAGGTCCCTAAGAAACCAATTCTCTTGGGGCAGCCATTAGAAATAGTATAGAAATGGGAAGAACAAGTGTCTCATTCTGTAATTTTGGTTTTATTTCTGGTTTGGTTTTTTTCCTGGTTTTTGGTTGGTTGGTTGGTTTTGCTGGAATTTGGTGAGTTTGGGATTTTTTTGTTTCTTTGTGTTTTTTATTTGTTTTTATTTGGTTTCTATTAGTTATTGGTATACAAAACAAACCACAGTTTTCCACTGTTCTGAGATTTTGGGCCAACTAAAATTTGTTCAGAATTCTTATGTGGTGGGGTCCAGACAGTCTGTTGCCTTTCTGGATGGGATTTGTGTTTGTGCATCTATGTGTGTGAGTGTCTGTATTTTTGGTGATGTGAATATGGGCACATGTGTTTGTGTTCCTTCACACATATCCATGTGTATCCATGACTTTGTGTGTCTGTCCACATGTGAGTACATATCTTTGTGTGTTTTTCAAAACTTGGGCTCTGTCCCTGCAGCTACTTGTGCTGGATGAGAGCAGTTTACACTGAAATACTGATAATCTCTGCTCATGTCTTGTCACCTACCCTCCACAATATGATTTAGCTGTGTTCCAAAATCACTCTTTTTAAGTTTGTCTATGCTTCAGTAAGATTTAAAACTATATATTTTGCAGAGAAAAAGGTTCTAGAAGCAAATATTTCAAAATGTGCCATGATGAGGATATTTTCATGGGGCATTTCTAAATCAGTTAATTGGTCACCAGGTGACTTAAGGTAGTTAACACAACAGCCTTCTTAAAAGCTAGAGGACACTATACACATTTCTGCTGCAGACTTTGGATGCTTCTCCTTTGCCCTAAGCAAATCTGATATTACAAGACTGGCAAATTTTCAAATATTGATTGTGTTGCTGGTGAATGTAAGTTTGACTCTCCTACAGTAAAGTCATTCCTTTGAAGGATGAGAACAGCACAACAGTTATTGTCCTGTTTATCCAGGGCAAACAGCTTTTATCCAGCATTATTGGCTGCCTCTAGTTATACAGTAATCAAATAAATGTCCTAGTGATCTGAAGGTAAAGATACTTTAGGAGAAGTCTTAAAGGTTTCTGAGATTAAATAAGAATTAAAGAGACAAAATTATATAGTTATAAAGTGTTCTGTCTCAGAGTTACTACTTCATCTGATCTTTGTCTTGGTTTATGTAAGTGAAACAATTTCTATATGGTTTTCAATCTGATCTTATCTTGGAAGTGAACTAAACTATATAAAGCTCAGTTTAAACGAATATTATAAGTTATCAGTGAATACTTCAAGTTTAATGTGATTTATCGAAGCCACAGTAAATGTATTTCATTTCTTTAGATCACTCTTTTTGAGTGATCTCAGCCAAATAAATAAGCAAAACTATTCCAAAGTACTCTGAACGGGATAAGCAAATTACAGATTCAGTTACTTTGAAATAACTGTGTGCATGCAACTATCCCAAACAAATAAGTAAGATAACTTACTCCTCACATTTGCTGTAGGGTAAACATTTGCCAACTGAAAACTTGAGACATTTCAATAGAGTATCAAAGACACTGTGAATGCCTTGTCTAGTTTACTGCACAGTAACTAACATCTGTAGTTTTGCACTACAGGAGCCAAGACTGCCTATGATATGTATCATTAAAGAACAGAGTCCAGTGGGAGAGTCAATCCTTTTCACAGTACAATTTTATATACCTAATTTATCAGATTTATTTAAGAAATTATTTAGATTTATTCAGAATTTAATGTATCCAATTCCCATTATATAATGTGTATTTGCCTTCTAGAATGATGATGATTTTATGAGTTATTTGTTTTTTCAAGGTGAGAGTTTTGTTTATGATTTTACGAGTACCTTCTCTTTTTCATGTGTTCTTTTCTTTTAGATGAAAATGTCAGTTGTCTTGAAATACCTCCAAGCCTTCAGCTGGCGATGGATGTGGTTAACCATAGCTGCTTATGTAGGCCAGAATGCACTAGGCATTGGACAAAATCTGTGGCTTAGCACCTGGACTGCAGAAACAGCACAAGTTAGTGATTTCACAGAATGGAAACAGTCACGAAACTATAAGCTTTCTATCTACGGGCTTCTGGGATTCATTCAAGGCAAGGATGAGCATTTATGACTCTTTCTCACTGTTTGCCAAGTTTGATCTGCCTGAATATGTGTCAGTAAAGAAATAGTGCTATTTGTTTCATGGTGTGCAACACAGTTAAACTTGGGGAGAGCAGGAGCCATATTACAGACATGTAGAAGAAAATGCAGTTTAATTTGATGATATTGCTGTGAATTCTTGGAACATACATATGTAACCTAATGAAGCTCTGTTGGCATCTCGTTGAGGTGGGGATTCATATGGATGTGAAGTGGTGTGCTAGCAGAAGAGACTTAACTGCAGGAAAATCATACTTAGGAAGTAGTAAGATGTATCAACAAAATGCAAATACGTACATTTGTAAAACTAAGAGAGGAAGCACAACTATGGGATTGGTCACTGTGGTAGAAAACAGTGACAGGAACAAGCTCCATCCCTTTTCCCAACCCAGCCATTCATACTGTCTTTCAATTTATCCATTCCCAAGGCCTGCTCGTTTGCTGTGGTGCTTATGTGCTCACCAGGGGATCCCTGTCTGCTTCCCGGGCTATGCATGGTCAGCTGTTGGACAACGTGCTGCACCTTCCTCTGCAGCATTTTGTAACTAATCCAGTTGGTCGGATCATCAGCAGGTTCACAAAGGTAAAGGGAACACTCATACAGAGTTTTCCATTTTATGAAAATGAAGCTTGAGTTGGCTTGGTTTTAATTCCATTTTAGCATTGTTAAAAAAGTATTGATATGAAAGCACTGCAATATCTAGCAATGGGAAGGTATTCCAGTGCATAAAACTTAAAGAACTGTCTCAAGCTATTTTCTTACAAAGTCATCAAAACATATTATTGGTAGAAGTTGTATAGACTCTATCCAAGATCATTAAGAGGTCATTCCTGATCTGAGTTAGCAAAACAGGATCAGGCAAAGCCTCCCTTTCCATTCACGTCTCTTCTGTTAAGATGCATAAGAAAAATGTGTGCATAGGATACATTCAAGAATCATTGTCTCAGGAAGTTAAAAAATATTTGGGATAGCTAGGGTGTTGTTCAGCTATTCTCTTTCATGAGCGTTGATCTTTTAGAAGCACTAATATTTCTCAAAGAAACAATTTCTCCTCTCATTGATTATGTGACATTTGGGAAACAAAGACAATAATTTCCTACAATTGTATCATGCCTTCCATCCAAATGATTCCTTAGCTTTTCACCAGTTTTATACTGCATGATGGTACAAACAGCTACAAAAACAAGTGTCTAAGGTAAAGGACAGAAACAAATTCAGATATTTATACCTCCTTTTCAAAAGACTAAAGACAACTTTGTATTTGTTTAAGCACCTGTGGCTCTTGTTGACTGTGACACAAGCAATTGTCACCTTTGGGAAAGGAGTGAAGTTTTAGGTATACATAAAAAAACCTGCTCTCCAGTCCTGACTGAAATCCTGTTGCTGCTTAAAAGAGTCATGAAAGACTCACTAAATATATTTTTTAAAAAGACTCTTAGTATACTGGGTCTTGTAGAGTGTTTTCCTAGAAGTAGGTGTTGTCTGTCAGTTGTCCTTGCAGGAGAGGTACTGGCCTGTGCCCGTGAAGAGGAATTCCATCCCAGAGCCTGGTACCAGCAGGACCAATCTCCACCCTCTCTACACAGTTTGGCAGGAGACACCATTCCCCCTCCACATCTTGGGCTGCAAGTCCCCCCCACCAGGGATCAGCTGTACCTACAGCTGTGAGGGGACTTCTTATCTTCAAAGCACTGCAACGTCCTAAATTTATTTCTGGAGGTAAACCCTTTCAATTAGTCACATCTTCCCCAGCATATTTGCCAGATGTGTATTGTTCCCTTTTATGGCAGCTGAAGTATTCAGAACTTAGCCAGAAGTAATCATCTTTCATCTTTAAAGCATTCATCATAAGTCTGTTTCCAAATCTTTCTTACCTTTCTTCCGAGAAGTTTGTTGCATTACATTTTTCACCCACTCTTTCCTCTCAGGTAGTATTAAAAAACCATTAAGATGTTTACCAATATTTCAAATGTAAAAAAATATGAAATGGGAAGCAACTGGGTTTAGTTTATAATTTTTGGTATATACCAGTTTTTGTACAAAGGCTGCATATGATGATTTAAAGTGCACTTGGCAGATTTGGTAACTAGGTGCTTGTGCTAAGGAGTCTTGCTTCATTTTCCAGGACTTCCATTTTTTTTTCTCATTAGCATGTACCATTGCAGGAAGATATCCTGCAATTCCCATGCAAGGAGAAACATGTTATTTCATCATAAGCATGTGAAAACAGGCCAACAAAGCCACTTGAACAGATATATTAAGTCTTTCCCTGTCATCCTCTAATCAGCAGTTTTCTCTTCAGGAAGACAATGTTGTTTTACAGGTTGTACACAGAGAAATATCTTTCAAAATGGTTGTTTTCTTCCATTTTCAATGATACAACTGCTCTTATCAACTTGCTTTCAGGAGTTTATTTTAGAAGGACATCCAATTTTGCTATTTTACCTTAGATCACTGGGAGATAGCCTTTGTGATTCTCTCCTGCAGAAGAGATTACACAACCACTTCTGCTGATTGGTGAACTTCTAGCTATTAAAAATTATGGCAAAATATGATTATCTCAATGAGGGCCACACTGCAGAAAGATAAAAGGATTTGGGTGAAATAGTTTCAAGTGAGGTAGTGTGGCTACAAAAAGCAGAAGGAAGATGTTATTTGGGCACATGTATGTATGCTCATACATGCACATTTCTGCACATTGGAAGGAAAATGAAGAAAGTGATGGAAAGGTTAAAGCAGGTATAAGACAAGAAAATAAAGGTCAATATTTGGGAATCTATATTTGTTCATACCCTCCTTCAGTGGAAAAAGAGGATTTTTTTGTTTTTGTTTTTAGTATGACCGCTTAAAGAAATTTAGCATTTTATAATTTTATGAATAATAAAACAAAATGAGCATTGCAAGATCAGTATATCATTTGACCTATGCTAAATCTGTGGTGTGGAGTATGTGACACTTTTTGGTTTAGAGACTAGCTTTTAATGAACAAGTTTATCTGTAAATCCTCAGAAAATTTGTTATTCATTCAAAATGAGTGGAAGGTTGATAGGAGAGAGTCTGTATGTCTGTGTATGATAAAGGGATTGAATTCCAACTTTAGCTTACACATAAAGCTTCAACTGGCACTTCCACAATGCATGTCCTGAATTCTGTTTGATGTGTATATCAATGTCCTTCAAATACCACAAGCTAAGAAAAACACTGCTAACTGCCAGGTTTTAAAATTCTCTAGTGCTGGCTGACTGATTAAAGCTACCTTGTCTATATGCTGCTATCATTTATGCTATTTAAAACTTAGTCCCGTTTTCGCTCCCTGTTTTCAGTGCTATTATCCACCTACCCTGTTTGACTGGGAAATAATCTGCATGAGAAATTCTTTTCATGGTAGATAGGTGGGGGTTTTTTTCAACTATTGCTATGAGTATCAAGAAGAGTTGGCAGTGGATTTTATTTGTTCTGGAGAGGATGATGGATACGACTCTATTCCTATATTCCGTATATGTTTATTCTTGGTGTTGTTTGCCAGACTTTATGTTGTGTAAATGGAAAATTTAAATAGCAACAAAGCATTTAAACAGAAAATGAAGGACTATAAAGAACCAAGTTGTAATCAAATGGAGTATTAGGCAGAATGTAAGGCCAGTTGCACAACTCTAATGGGTGGAAAATATTCTTTTATAGATGGAAAGAAAAGGTTGTAAATAAGCATTTAAATATATACATTTAAGTAGAAAATATGGTGATGTTGCATAGGATGCTTTCTATTTAACAGAAAATCAGAGATTTTGACACTTGTCATGATATGGGAGGTTGGAATGTGCATTCATCACAAATATTGCCCCCTTGCCAAACATCGAATTAGGCTTCAAGTATGGCTACATCTTGCATCTCTTAGGAGCCATCCCTCCAAATACAGCCTTGCTATCTTAATAAAACATGACAAATAGGCAGCCTGGTTAATACATTTGAAGTAATATCAAATTGCACATGAAACATCACAGAGAGAAGCACGGTATCACATGGGCAAGGACTCAATGGAAGTCTGTGTTTGTGGTCTTTAAGGGGGAATTTCAGCAGACCAAGGGAGTTCTCCATGTTAGGTTGTAGCAGCTGGTAGTTCTATATTAGATATTAAAAGCTCTTACTATTCAAGTAGCCAAAGAGAAAATATTCTTGCATAACATATCTGTTAGATGTAAAAGGCAGGAAGTCCAATTCTTTAACAACTGTTTAATATTGAATCTGAACAACTGTTCAAATCATATTTTGGAATATTTTCGTGAGTTTAAGTAACCGAATTCCTTAAGATTCAAGATTCATGTCAGATTTACATAATTTACAAGACTCATAACAGATTTACTGTTATTTTTAGAGAAGGATTTAGTGCAGCATGTATTTGCAACTCCAGTGTCTTGTAGCATTTATCACAAACAAGGTTGTGCATACTTCTTATCGTAGTTCTTGTGTTTGTTTTTTTGTTTTATAAAGTCACCATCAACAATATGTCAACCATACACCCAAGATGTTTGTCTTTGGGAAAAAAATATGTGGTTTTGCCTTAATTTTATAAAATACTTGGAGAAATCTACAGATCAAAACAAATAATGAAGATCATTATGAAATAACAGTGGGCATCCAAGGTCCCATTGCTTTGGGACTGAAATGAAATCAATTGCAACTTCCACAACAGCCCTTCACTGAAGGAAGTTCATTTTAAACTTACCTTCTGAGAACTTTTCATGTACTCAAACAGGCAAACTTCTGAGGGAAAAGGCGTGAGATGAGGTTAACAAGAGAGGGAGTGAAAGTGGTCTGTGAATGGGCCTGTATGTTAGAAGGTTAGTCACAACACAGAAAATGTTAAAAAGCTGTCTGAAGTCCAAAGAAATGTTTCTTTTGCTCTGTGCAACTGATGAAAACCACATTAAAGCTTCAAACTTGATATGCAGCAACAGTAGAATGCATCTCTAAACATATGAAAGGCGCTGGGCTGAAACTGGACAAAGCCTTTCACAAGTCTCACCTTTCAGTTTGTTCTCAAGGGGATTGCTGTTTCAGAAACTGAAAGATACTTTTCCATATTAAGAAGGCCTTTTTTAACTAATGCCTTAGTTTATTGTTGACTCATTCAAGTGGCACCCAATAGAGCAACTGAATTTTATTTGGAAACCCACTTAGGACTTAACAGTTTTGGCAGTATAGCTTTCCTCTGGCTTTGGGAGATTTTTCTACAGCTTTTTGCCATGTAAATGTGCCCACTGAGTGATTCAGTTAGAAATTTCCATGAGAATACACCCTGACAGCAAGAACCATAGCTATGCCCCAGCGTGCAGGTTCTCACAGGATGGGCTGAAAAGCTTTCTGGGAATCACTTACCATGCAATCTGATTACTTAAACCTTTTCCTTTCTGCATTAAATTTTCAAGGTGAGCATTTGTTTCTAAGTATACCTTGTTGGTTTTAGCCCCTGGTAGTTTGAAACCATTTTCTCACTGATATTGCGTTGCTTGACACATTTAGGGCTCTTCCCATGTAGAACCTCAGTGACATTTTCTATGCTGCTCATGATTGTCATACTTTGT